CACGGTTGAGGGTAGGGGTGCTGTTGATGTCTCCGGCCATGAAGGATGACTCCGTCTGCTTTCTCACCGTGTCGTTCCACATGCGCCGGATACGGCTCTGAAACAGTGAGAGCAGTGACGTGATTGTGAGATGGACACAGCAGCTGCGTATGAGCAGTAATGCATTGGTGTGGTAAGTGCGTGTGTGTGTGTGTGTGTGTCTGTGTGTGTGTGTGTGTGTGTGTGTGTGTGTGTGTGTGTGTCACCTGTCTGTGCACTGCTGCATGGCGTGTCTGACTGCCGGTGTAGTATCGGTTGTTTGTGCGCAGGGCAGAGTTCTTCAGAGAGCCGTGAGAGCTGGTCGTGGAGGTGCGACTGCAGCAGTATGAATGACGCAGGCACTTGCTGTACTCCTTATGCACCTGAAATGCATACACACATTGTATACACACTGTATACACACTGTATATTATAAGCACTTAAATACAGAATTGAATCTATGTAGGAAAAGCAGCTACACTAAATGCAGCTACAATGTATATATTTAGAGGAAAATATAAATTATATATAATATATCGCTTCCGGGATATGGATCCAAATGCAATTTTTAATTAAAAAGATTATTCGTGCAGGCAAAACAAATGAGGTCAAAAAACAGGAACTCAGGTATCATGAAGGGCATCTAAAAATTGCAAAACAAAGCGATGATTAAAGAACAAAAAGTTACAAAAAAATCATCAAAACATAACTAGAAAAACTATAAACAGGACGACACTCAATGAAACCATACAGGTACTGACAAAAAAAAAATAAAAAAATTGCTTTGACTGGTGTGTGCAATGTGTATAAATAGTACAAACAATTGATGATGACGATATTCAGTTGTGTGTGATTAATGGTGACTGGTTTGTGCAAAGGCATGCTGGGATATGTAGTTCCTGAATGACATGTGTAGTATGCCAGCGATCTTTCAGGAACAGATTGCTGGTTATGTGACAATATAGTGTATCCAGAACAGTAATCATAGTGCTTCATTTTTTCCACATTTCTTTTTATGTTACAGCTTTATTCCAAAATTGATTAATTTACCTCTATTGATTAATTACAGCCTCAAGTCTTTTTGAATATGACTCCTCAAGCTTGGCACACCTGTCTTTGAAAGTTTTGCCCATTCCTCTGTGCAGTACTTCTCAAGGTGGATGGGAAGTTACGGTGTACAGCCATTTTCAGATCTCTCCAGAGATGTTCAATTGGATTTAGGTCTGGGCTCTGGCTGGGCCACTCAAGGACATACACAAGGACGAGTCTGACGTCAAAAGCACTCTGAAGCAGGTTTTCATTCCGGATGTCTCTGTACATTGCTGCATTCATCTTGCCCTTTATCATCACTATAGTCTTCCAGTTCCTGCTGCTGAAAAAAACATCACCACAACATGATGCTACCACCACCATGTTTCACAGTAGGGATGGTATTAGCCTGGTAAAGAGCTGTAGCTGGCTTTCTCCAAATGTATTTCCTGGCACTCACTTCAAATGGTAAAATTTTAGTCACATCAGACCAAAGAATTTCGTTTCTTATGGTCTGAGAGTCCTTCAGATGCCTTTTGGCATATTTCAGGCAGTAAGTGGCTTCCGTCTGGCCACTCTACCATACAGGCTTGTTTGGTGGATTGCTGCACAGATGATTGCCTTTCTGTAAGGTTCTCCTCTTTCCACAGAAGAATGCTAGAGCTCAGACAAAGTGACCATCCGGTTATTGAATACCTCCCTCACATAGGCCCTTCTCCCCATCACTCAGCTTAGATGGCCGCCAGCTCCAGGAAGGGTCCTGGTGGTTCCAAACATCTTCCACTTCCGTATGATGGAGGCCACTGTGCTCATTGGAACCTTTAGAGCAGCAGACATTTTACTGTAACCTTCCCTAGCCCTCTGCCTCGAGACAATCCTGTATCAGAGGTCTACAGACAATTCCTTTGTTCCCATGTTTGGTTTGTGCTTTGACTTGCACTTTTTACCCTGGGCCCTTATATAGACAGGTGTATGCCTTTTCAAATCATGTGCAATCAACTGAATTTACCACATGTGACCTCCAATTAAGCTGCTGAAACATCTCAAGAATAATCAGTGGAAACAGAATGTATCTGAGCTCAATTTAGAGCCCTATGACAAAGGCTGTGCATATTGGTGTACATTTTTGTGCTGATGTGAATTTTTAGTTTTATTTTTATTTTTTAATAAATTTGCAAAAATGTCAAAAAACTCTTTTTTTCACATTGACATAAGGGGGTATTGACTGTAGAAATTTTAGGAAATATACAAATTTAATCTATTTTAAAATAAGGCTGTAACATAGAAAATGTGGAAAAAGTACTGCGCTATGAATACTTCCTGGATGCACTGTATATAACAGCATTTTGTTTTACATTTTATATCTAGTTTAGATTAAGTTAGAGAGCTTTTTAACCTACTTCAGTAAGATATAAATTCAGTGAAGACAATTATTATAATAATTTCTATGATCTTTGAAATAGGGTTAAAATGAACTGTTGATTGAATTGGTAAGCATCTTATTAAGCTAAAATAAAATTTCATGCAAAGAGTGTTAGAAATGTACTTGAATATATTGAATACATTTTTTAAATATAAATGTGAGTAAGTATACATGTGCTTTAGTATGTTAGTCAGCACACCAACAATATTACAAATAATTATATAATACAAAATAATAAGCGTTTTTAAAATATGGTGTATAAAAGATACATCGTATAGTTGCACTGGAACGCATCGTCAGTAAAGTATCCTGGGGTCAGTGGGTGTTTTGAGAACGTTTTGAAAGCCCCATCTTGCGTCCTAGTAACCATCACCCACGGATCAGCCTGCAGCTTTACTAACGGACTTAATGACCCTTTTCTTAGCTGCTGTAGGTTTTTTAATTTTCTTTTTTTTTTTGTTATTGACATTTTTTACACATTCGTGGAACTAAATATTTATTTTATTAATTTAATGCAACAGCAAATAAAGTTTTTTTTATTTTTTTTTTTAACCAACCATTTTTAATGTTTCACATTCATGTTTATTCTCATTTGGTAAGAGGTTTTACACAAATTTATGCTAAAACAAAGAAGAAAAGTTTGTTTCAGTTTTTGTGAAATGGGAAAAAAAGACATTGAATGATTTAGTGGAGACTACAATTCGTTGTCATCACTGCTAAACAGTTCTTTGCAGTTTTATTGGTTAAATCCTGCGCCATTTCTGTGTCTTTATAAAGCCTGTCCTCTCACAGTCAAAAATAGCTTTAATTGTTAAAAATGTGTTTATTACCCAACAGAGAAAATCTTTAGCATTTTTAACTGATTCCCATGACATTATTTAATGTTTTTTCCCTCTATTTAGCTAACGTCTGGGGTAGTTTTGAGCAAATGTGTCCCCGATGTCCTATCCAGGTCTGAAACATTAATGGCGCTGACCTTTTTCTGCAGAGCGCAGTGGAAGATGAAGATGAACATGCCCTGGAAGGCATTGAAGGTGGTGAAAAGGTACGCCATGATGACTGTGTTCTCATTGATGAAGAGCAGGCCAAAAGCCCAGGTCAATCCTAGGAGAAAGAGCAGAGCGATGGCTCCCAAAGCCCAGGACCTAAAGAAGAACAGGTACACTGTCACAAATGCAGAAAAGCAAACCAAAACTGCAGATAACAAGCAAAGACTCTCACTTGATGTTGTCCAGGCGGCTGGAGTCAGGTTTAAGAGCTGATGAGTTACGGATCATCTTGTGAAGAGTTATCATGAGAAACACCAGGTTTAACTGAAGGTGGGAGGAAGGAAAAGAGGTGTTAGAGATGTAACTTCATAGACCTGTTTAGAGTTTGTAAGAAAACTATAACAAGTGGGCAGAGCTGCAGGTGTAAACAAGGTTTAAAACCTTTGACTAAATTCAGATGTAGCCGAAACGTTTAATATGGTAAGCTTCCACAGAAAGATTGATGGGATTTTCATGTTCTTGAGTTTCCTTTTACAGAATTGATAATGTAATTTAAGCAAAATCTGGTCAGTTAAATAGAACTAAGCATTCAATTAGCTGTTTAAGTGTAAATTGAGATGAAAGGCTGATTAAAAGCAAGCGCCATCAGGAGCAGTGGGCGAGTGCTGAAACTCTATTGAAAATACTGTAGAAAAATACACTTCCATTTTTTAAAGACACACCATGGAACAATGGAATTTAAAGCAGCTTTTCTAGACTTGTGTGAAAAGCTCTGGTTACCAAAGTAACCCTCGTTCCCCAAGGAGGAGGAACAGAAATGTTATGTGGAAACTTCTACTATGGAGATGTTTTCACAATCCAATCATCTGAAAGATTGGATAAACGGGCCAATTAAATGCCAATACGTTGGCAGCATCAGCATGCACAGCTGGCGCTACTTACAATCAATTTTGAATAAAAGCCAAGCTGAGGCCTTCTTTTCTAGCTGAAGAGACTAGGGAGGGAGCGGGTTCGAATCCTTGATCAGCCGATGACAGCCCATCTTCCGATGCAGCAATGGACATCTGAGCCTCAACGTCATCTAGTGAGAGGAAAACCACGCTTGGATGTAGCGTGTGGAGGACTGAGAGGTCCGCAAGCCAAAGGGCAGCAGATTTACTCCCACTGTAACCCTCAGATCTGTCCGAGTGCCCACAGCGGTGCGGGAGAAAACTGGGGTGGGTCGCTCTTTTGCAAGAGCAAGCCACGATCTTAACTGCGCAACAGACATGCCATCGCAGTAATGACATGCGCTGCCGGCGAGCACAGCATTAACATGCTGGACCCCCAGACATAAAACGCATTGCTTGTGCCAATCATCCAGGAACAGGAAACCAAAGCATCCAGAAATGCACAGTCGAAGCGACATCTTGAAAAAGACACTCTGCATGACCGTGTTGCTCTTTTAGGAAATTCGCAACAATACAAACCGCTCTGGAGGACCGGACCCAAAGAATGCCAAGCAAGGAAGAAATCCAGCTCGACCGTCTGCCGCCATGTATCATAAGCCCCTTTCACACAGTGATACCGGTAAATATCTGGAAAATTTCCAGAACGACTTTACCGGTATATTCAAAAAAGCGCTGTTCACACAGGCGAGGACGTTACGGAAATTTTCCGGAAAAGAGCATTCACACATCCATTCCAAAATACCTGTAAATTCTGACATCATTCACTACAAATGAGCTTTAAACGGCTGCGCTTGTATTTGTAAACATTTGACTAAATTACAAACTCTGTAGATGATCAATATTGTGAACAACTTTCGCAGGATCACTTTCCCATGTCGAGATGTTCATAAAATGTGCGTGTGCAGGCGCTCACAGGCTGTTTCACAGGCACACGCAAAGCTTGAAGGTAAACAAACAATGGCTTATCATAAGCATCTCATCGATGATTATTTACACAGTTGGCATTAAGAAGAACATATAAACGTGATCTGACTAACTTCTAGCAGCTAAATGTGTCTGGAAAAATATTCAAAGGCACAAACCGGGCGGATGTAAATGCGTCTGACTGTTGTGATTGGCTAAAGCAGGTTCTAGACGTGCACTCGCTTAATACAGCAATCTTCCTTCTGCGTCCACACAGCGCAGCATTCCGGCAAATTGCCGGTTATTAACTTCTCTTTCCGGAAAATAGCCAGAACGAATTTACCGGTATTTTCAAAAAGGACCTGTTCACACATACAACTGCAATTTTCCGGAAAGGTCTGTATGTGTGAAAAGGGCTATTGACTCTGGACCGAGAGAACAGCCTGCTTTCTCGTTCTCTTTGTCTCTGTTGTAACAGTTCTAGAAAACCCGACCATCGAAAAATCGACTCTCTCAGAAGCTTTGTGAAAGGCTCTTAAGCAAAAAGGATGCTCAGCTTGACACGTGATGTGCTTTTATTCCAAATGACTTGCAAGTAGCGCCAGCTGTGCATGCTGACGCTACCAACTCATTGGCATTTTATTTGCTTGTTTATATACTCTTTCAGATGATTGGATTCTGATGAAATCCCCATAGTGCAAGTTTCCACATAGCATTGAAGTTCCCCTCCCGAAAGATTTACATGAGAATGGCAGTACAGACATTTACACAAAGTTTTGCTCTGTACAGGTTAGATGAGAGGCCTGGCGCAAGCAAGAAAACTTCAGGCGAACTCTTTTCTTTTCTCAAAAATAACAACACAGCCCAACGCTAGCGCATTAGCAAAATATACTGTAATTACCAAAAAATGTCAGCAAGTTCCCGTATCTAAACCTAATCTAAACTCCACACTCATATAAAGCATATTACAGCCAAAAACATAGTCGTCAGCAGCAACAGATCCATAGGTGAACAAAAGTGCTTTGTCTGATATGACTAGCACAGCACTTTCCAGAGGGAGAAAAGAACAAACTCTGAGGAAAGCAGGGAGAATGTTTGGAGAGAACAATACCATGATAATGAAGGACACAGGGCCGATAAAACTCCAGATGAAGTAGTTATCCACCCTCAACCAGCACCTACACACAAAACACACACATTATACACACTTTAGCTGTGCATTTTACCATACACAGAATGATCCCTTCATCACATGCAGATACTTCTGTTGCTTTTTTATTTGGTAGCACATTATTGATCATCAAATACCTTTTAAAACTGGCAAACGGTCTTGAAATAGTATTAATAAGAACATCCGGATGCATAAATTTTGCCATACAAAAGCTAATAAAAGCAATAAAAGTCTAGTTGAAGGTTAAGCTCAGTTTTTAATCATTAGCACACTGAGTCAGCGTCTCATTTTCTGCACTGTAGTCAACATTCAAAAGTCTGCAGCTGTGCTATTTTCCCACACGCGCACACACATAAACACACACTCGCGTGCACACAAACATGCCCATCCACACACACACATATGCTCGTGCAGGCAGCAATCAGCGCAGTTAAAGGTGCAGTAAGCGATTCTGGTAACTTCCGCCGGCGATCAATTGGACTACGCCCACTCATTAAATCCCTTTCCCTATTAATTTGACTACGAATTTATTAAATATTTAAGATAAAAGATCAATAAGCAATTATCACTTTCCATAAAACAATATTTGTATTGTATTATGTATAAAATATAATAATTATTATTTTTTTTATTTTCTCATTTGAGTTAACCTTGATTCTTTATTGGTACGTTATGTATGCTTTGCTTAAAGAGATGTTAAATTATTTACCTTTACAGTCATTCTTTACCTTGTATGTTTTTTACATGATTTACTATATTCTGTATGCTCTGTCAAATTATATCTTAACCAAAACTGGCCTTTGAGGAAATGTATTTTGCATACTAATGAGGCATTTTGCAGAAAGAGCTATCTTGGACAAGAAATCTACAGCAGAAACAATAAAAATAACGTGCGTCTCTCACTTCTGATTTCCTGTGTAACCAGTTATGAAACATATTGGGGCCTATGGAGGTCTCTAAGCATGTGCACTTTACTGGTCCAGTTCTTCTGTGCAGAAGAGAGAAACTAGAGACGGTGCAGAAAAGCTGACAAAGACAACCCGCCTTCTCCTTCTTCTGTATAAATAAACTGGGTCTTTAGTCCTAAGAAAACACTTGCAGAGCGCCTAGTGTGTTCTCTTGGATAGCATTGTATAACCAATAGGACACAGTTGTGCGATTGAATTATTAATTTGTTCTTAATAAATTACTAATATTTTTGGAAATCAATCTCCGCCCCCTGATTTTGGATTAAACATGCATGGAATAATAGAGCACTTGTTCCAACAATTAATTTTACCTGAATTTTTTTTCTATATTCTCTAGACATAAAAATGGAAATGTAGTCACGGTTTACTGAGTGGTTTCAAACCTTCATGAGTTTTGTTCTTCTGTTGAACACAAAATAATTGTGTAGTACGCTGGAAACCAGTAACAACTGACTTCCATACACTACCTGACAAAAATCTTGTCATCAATCTCAGTTGTAAGAGCAACAAATAATAAATTGACTTCTAGTTGATCATTTGGAAAAGTGGCAGAAGGTAGATTTTTACAGATGAATCATCTATTGAACTGCATTCCTAATATCACAAATACTGCAGAAGACCTACTGGACCTCATATGGACCCAAGATTCTCATAGAAATCAGGGGGCATGTGAGAGATCTGCAGAGTGGATGGCAACATCAACAGTCTAAGCTATCAAGATTGTAAACAAGTGGTGTTATTAAAATTAAAATATTTTTTTTAGTGAGCTATTCCTTTAATGTGTACATATTTTAATGACCTATTGCATTCTATTTTATGGGAAAACTGTTTGGTTCATAAGCATTCTTCAAAATATCTGTTTATTCATAAACTAATTTCGAGAGGATCACGTGCTTATAATCAACACGGCTGGCTCCTTGTTAGCTCCGTAATCAGCCCTATTAGATGATTACGGAAGCATTATAAATAACCTGAGTTTTTTACTCCAGTTATCTTTGACTTGAAGATCCCCTGCCCTTTCCACCCCTACATCCTCCCACTTTTTTCTGATCGGGCGACACAGTGGCCCAGTGGCTAGCACTGTTGCCTCACAGCAAGAAAGGTTGGTGTTTCTGTGTGGAGTTTACATGTTCTCCCCGTGTTTGCGTGGGTTTTCCCCGGGTTCTCCGGTTTCCTCCCACTGTCCAAAAACATAAACCATAGCCAATCGACTAAAACAAATTATCACCCTTAATAACTAAGCTAACCTTAGTTTACACTTCTCACGGTGACAAGCAGGGGAGTTCTCGAGACGACCTCGAATTCCCATCTCGCCCTTCTAACGGGAGGGAGCCCCGGGCTCGAGGATATTATGAGCTCAGGGCTCTCTCCCGGGACAGCATGCCAAATACGCTTTATTGATTATCAGCTAAGTGTGAATCCTTAAAAGAGAAGATATCTGTTGTATTTTGCACAAAAGAGAAAAGTTATCCATACATGAGCCTTCCATTCCATGGAATAAAAGGCTCAGTTAAATAAACTTTTTCTTTTTTTTTTTTTTTTGGTGATTTGTCCCCTGAAATCTGGTCCACATTCTTTTTTTAATTTGCCCCAGAAACGTCTATGACTTTGCACGACTTATTTAATTATTTCATTGGTAGTAACACTTACACAACACAGGTGTAATAACATGCATTAATTCATAACTAATGTACTGACAATTCTGGGCTATGTGTGGAACTATGGCATTAGACAATACAATGTTCATAAGTACATGTGATGCAAACAGGTGTGGGAGTGGGAAAACACCTGCAAGTACATATTGTTATGCATTGCACTAACATAATTCCTGTCACAGATGTGCATCACAAATTCACTGGCTATAGGTGAATTGAATGTGAATGAGTGTGTATGGGTGTTTAACAGTACTGTATTGCTGCTGAAAGGGCATCTGCAGCATAAAACATATCCTGGAATAGTTAGCAGTTCATTCCGATGTGGTGGTCTCTAAAATAAAGACTAAGCCGAATATATGGTTCTATCTGACATTTTTGTAAAAATTTAGTTTTTGGCATATTCTTATTAAATGACAGCTTATGGCATTATGGGATGTTTTTTTATAAGTTGTTTACATTTTAAGACTTTTTCTTAAAAAAAACAAAAAAACAAATGTTACACACATGCTGTTTGCTATGGAAGGCAAAAACTTTGACGCTCAATATCTTAAAATCATTCAGAATGCAGAAAGAACCTTATAATTCCATGGTGACAGTGTTTTAAGGGTAATGTCTTTATAAAATATAAAACCAGACATTAATTCTTAATTCTCAAATCTCAATCTCAATAAAGTTTAAGTCTTAAATCTCAATCGAAGCTTCAATCTTAAATCTCATGGACAAATGGCTCAGAATAATGATTAGAATATAAATTATATATAAAATTGTGCAACACGGGCTCATTCTGAAAACATAGTCCGTTTGTTGTTTCTGGAGACTGTAAATTTGGTAGCCAGAGTACATATGGCTGAATTTAATTATTTAAGCAAACGCTATGTTCCTTTTCGTGCTTACCGGCTGACCGCTTACCTCCATGTGGAGTGCTTTCCCGCTGTAATCAGTTTATCCAGTTAGCTCTTCATGTACGTCGGCAAACTTGAGACGCAGAGAGGAGTTGACGACGACTGGGTTTGAGTCCGGGAAAGAGCGGTTCCAGAAATTAGGAAAGACAAAAAAAAAGGAATCCAAAAAATAAAATAAACAAGTGAGTAACAGGGTGGGAATGTGGTAAAATCCAAAAAACGTGGTAAAAATAAGACGATGGCTTTTCTTTTTCTGGACGGCTTTTGTTAATCATTGGTTGGGTTTAGGGAATTAAGTTGGTGGGCAGGTCAATCTGTGAAATTGGTTGGGTTTAGGGAAGGAAGAGGGTGAGTCAGTCGGGCACCCAGTAAATCATTCAGTCAGTCAGACAGACAGTCAGTCAACAGCGGGCTCTGGTGGGTTTATGCGAGAACAGCGCGGGCGCAAACGGCACTCGTGAGAGACATTTGAGGTACGAAAAAGCACACAGTGACCTCTCTTGGATTTGCGAAAATAAGAAAACTGCAAAAATACGTACCTCCCGGGACGTATTTCGAGGTCTCCAGAAACGTCCACGAGACTAAATTGTCAGAATGAGCCTGGATTGGAATTGTGGTAAGTTTACAATATCAGCAGCTAAAACCATGTCTATTTGAGTAATATAGGAAATTCTGTTGATTAAATATGTCAAATTATTTACCTAGACATGTATTAAACAGCAATTAATTAGTTTTAACATATTTTAAGGTAACACATGGTTTAGTTTTTAATGAGAAACATATTAACTCAATTTTAATTGTGCATAAATAATGCCTAGTACTGCACTTGCATTGTAAAGTGCATCCCATTAGGGTTTAAAACAAACCATTATTTCTCCAGAGATTGTTCTCTGACTGGTTAGTTTTCACTATTGGTTAAAAATAGCATATTCTCTTGAGAAATGCTCTTTTAAAGAGATTTATAAGGACAGGATCTGTCAGACTTATGCTTGGTAGTAAAAAAAAAAAAGAGGGGAAAAATGCAACACCTTTAACTGCCTTCATTTATAATTCACATGATGACCTTGGTCAGGCCAGGATCACATGACAGGGAGCAATCTCTAACTGGACTGCAAACTACATAACACCAGTATAGGTTTCCTAGTGAAAGGCGATGCTGCGCTTTATGGAATTTAAACTCCCAGAGAGACGTTTAGCTGGAATCCATTTAAATGAAACAAATGATTTAAAGAGGGGTCACGTCCCCTGCTCTAAAAACCACTGGCCCTTGTATGGCCGAGTGCTAATAGACTGATTCACACGTACGCTTTCTTGGTCCCATAGCTGCGGTAGTCGATGGCTGCTGAGATGCCCACCACCAGGGCTGGAAAGCAGTAGCCGCAAAGGTAGTAGTATTTCTTTCGGGAGTATTCGCTCTCGAAGACTTCCACCAGCATCAGGTACAGCTGGATCCCCTCCAGACACATCCAGGAGAACGCAGCCAGGAAGAAGAAATGCAGAAGGCCCGCAAAAATGGGGCATGCAATCTGTGGGAGGACAAAAACGGGGAAAGAAAAAGTAAATTTGAGGATTTTGACATGTTATTTACTCAAGCTGAGCGGTTTCTTTTTATCTCTGGAATTCAAAAGAAAATATTTTGAAGAATACTGGCAAGCAAACAACTTTGGCTCCCCTTGACGGTTGTTTTTAACTGTTTGGTTAAACAACATACTTCAAAATATTTGCTCTTGTGTTTTCAAGTACTGTACACTCTCATAAATAAAGGTACACAAGCTGTCACTAGGGTGGTACCTTTTTAAAAGGTACAAATTTTTATATTAATACCTTAGTTAGTTTAAAACTTGATTAATCCCCTTGGGGCAATTCATTTCGACATTGGGGTGTTACACATACAGTAAAACAAGAATGACACACTTAACACAATAAACATCAACACTTAACAAGTACAAAAAAAAACAAAAAACAAATAATAGTACATCGATTAACTACATTTGCATTACATAACCTAACTGCTTCAGGCACAAAAGTAAATTCATAACAATTTGTGGAATATCTTATTGTCCTCAGACGATGAACAAGGGGCATCCACTCAAAATGTTTATTTAAGTGATGTATTCTGTCTCCTAATATTTTATTTGCCATCCTCAACACCTGTTGTTCATAATAGTATGCAAGACTTCGCAGACAAACTCCCAAAATCTTTGAACACAAATTAACAATGCCTTGAAGAAGATTCTTGTTTTTTTATAGACAGTGAAGAAAACCAGCAAATAAAGTAAAAGGACAAAATACTTTCAATAAATGAATTGTAAAATGTCTTAAGAAGAATTTTCTCTACAATAAAAGAGTTGAGTTTCCGCAAGAAAAAAGTCTTTGATGAGCCTCATTAACAATTGTATGTGTAATGTTAAGGGTACATATTAGTACCTAAACAGTACAAAAGTGTTCCTCTCAACACTTTTGGGTACTTATATATACATTTGAGATACCAGTATGGACCCTTTTAGTACAAATTTGTATTTTGAAAAGATGCCACCCCAGTGACAGCTTGCGTACATTTATTCCTGAGAGTGTACAAATAAACTCTGGGTGTTTTATTTTCTTTCTTTGTTTGGCGAGACATAACAGAAGATATTATGAAGACATTCTGGAAAACCAAAATGTTTTGGTTCCATTGACCTTCATTGCATAAACAAACAGTACAATAGACGGCAATAGGAACCAAACAAGTTTGATCGGGGAGCATTCATCAAAATATTTTCCTTTTGGCAAAAGAAATTGGAATTCAGTTTTGGAATGACATGCAAGCCAGTTTAATGGTTCTATTTGTGTGATCAATCCTTGAAATCTGGTCAATTTTGCACTTTATTTTTTGTTTAGAACTACACTCAAAAATGTTTTGAGATTTTGTCATTTCAATTGTGTATTCTTGTTTTTTATTTTGTTTTTGTTTTTTACCCAGTCAACAACAAAAATTTTGTTAATTGGCTCATAACTAAGCTGAAAGTTGAATGAACTAGTTTAACTGTTGTTTCAGCTTTAAAAAAAAAAAAAAAAAGGATTTTGGTATCCTAAAAGTCAATGTATAATCTGTCATCAAGTGCAATTCATGTGCCATTATTATTCAAGGCTACTTATACTCAAGGCATCATTCCTAATGAAACGTTGCTTCATATACAGTATAGACAGAAACCATGCATTAATGAACTAATAAAGGGATAATTCACCCAAAAAAATAAGAGAAAATTAACTCCATGTTTACAAATCCTCTAGTGGATCCAAGCCTTTATGAGTTTGTTTATTCCCCTGAATAGGAAAGGATGTATATTTTAAGTAAGCTGAAAATCACTCACCTAAGTAGGAAAATAAATACTACATGAGTATGTATAGAACTCAATGGGTAAAGGTTTCCAACGTCTTTATAAAAATCTTCTTTTAAACGTATAAAAGGTTTGAAATAAGTAAAGGGTGAGTGAATGATGACAGTATTTTCAGATTTGGGTGAACTACCCCTTTAATAAATCTTGCTATTCTTATCAGAAGACTATGTGTTGATTTACTTTAACTATACTGCAGGCATGAATACTGTATACAGTTGAAGTCAGAATTGTTAGCCTCCCTTTGATTTTTTTTTTTTTTTAATGATCAAGGAAATTTACACAGTATGTTTGATAATATTTTTTCTTCTGGAAAAAAAAAGTCTTATTTGTTTTATTTTGGCTAAAATAAAAGCAGTTTTAAAATTTTTAGACACCATTTTAAGGTAAAAATTATAAGCCCCTTTAATCTTTTTTTTTTTTTTCTCTCTCTCGATAGTCTACAGAACAAACCATCGTTATACAATAACTTGCCTAATTACCCTAACCTGCTTAGTTAATCTAATTAATTCAGGGGGGGGCTAATAATTCTGACATTAACTGTACATACTCGCTGTCATACACTTTGTTTTTATGTGCCATTGTGGATATATTAATAAATAGTTCAGTTGCAAAAACCTGTGCCATCTGAAATTTCCATTTAAATGAGCTTTATTCTTAGCCTCCATTGTTTATGATGAGTTATTTTAATTTGAAGAGCATGAAATGAACTTAGTCGTTGCTGTAAAAGTAATATTACTAAACCTACACACAGGGACCTAATAAAAATGCTCATTTTAGAAGAAAATTGCAGATGGCATTTAGAGGTTTTTGCATCTGAACACTTCAAATGTTTTCCAGCAAAAAAAAAAAAAAAAAAAAAAAACTTTAAAGCAAATCACTTAGTATGAACGTCACATATTGTTATTAATATTTATGACTAAAGACATGATTGGCACAGTTTGTGCACTGTGCCTGACAGGGAGTTTATTTCAGAAAAGTAAATATATTTAGCATATTTTAGACACAGTTCACACAGATTATTAACATTCAAAAAGTGGAGATAACTTAATTTAATCTTAAATTTTATAGCATTTAATATTTATGTATTCGTGTGATTTTGAACTTGCAGGTGCATTTTGTGTCTCCAAGATGAACCTTTGATTATTTTATAAAATTAAATCCTTAAATAAAAGTGTTTTGAATAATACCACAAATTACATCCATATATTTCTAACATGAATATTTGAGTGTGTATTATTGAAATTTTGGGCTCTATTTTAATGATCTAGCAAAATATAAAGCACATTAAGGGCATGTCTGAATCCACTTTTGCTATTTTAAGGATGGAAAAATATGCTCTGCGCCAAGGCGCTTCTTGTGCTTATTCTCTTAATGAGTTATATGTGTGTTGTGAGAATAATGTGCATTCAACCAATCAGAGTCTCATCTCACATTCCCTTTAAGACTCAGTTACGTCACGACATGGCACATTTGCAATTTACATGGAAAATTTAGTAAATGGAAAAACTGAGCGCTTCACAAGCGAGAAAATCCTTAAACAGACCATCTGCAGCAGGATCAAGAATCAGCCTTCTCTCTTTACTTTATTTTTCTCTTTCTCTTAATTTTTACTCTTTATTCCTTGTCTTTTTTTGAATAGGAAACAGTATTGTATGCACTCCACTGAAGACATCCATTAGTCTACATATTTCATTTTGTTTGTTAGGCGCAAATATTTGTTTCAAAACTATTTCTAAATTCAGTTCTAATTTCCAGCAAACAAATAAATGAACAATAATAACAAAGTGTGGTCAAAAAACGTTATATCCAGACACATGTTCTATGTCCATATTCTAAACTCGACAAGTGGACAAATCTAAGCTTGTTTTTATTAAAACAAATATAAATATGCATATAATAAATACTACTACTACTACTACTACTAATAATAATAATAATAACATTATACAAAAGCAAACTTTGATGGAAAAAACTGAAAAAAGCTCCCTGAGATGAGGCATGGAGGCAGTGATTTTTATATTTATGTACAAAGTAATATTTTTTGTAATATTTTAATAATTTTTCATTTGTAAAGATATTTGTGTACTGCTGTACATCCGTTGTGTATTAAGCAATGTGTAGGCATTTAAGGCTCTATGCTGGACTTTAGATCTGCTCTCAGATGGTCAATAGTGCAGTCTATTTTAGTTCCTTAAAATAACAATGCACTACTAAAGCACCTTAACATACCTCCAAACTAGACCGACATGAGTCCATGAGTCCACAAAGCGGCACAAATGGATTTATTGTTTGAACAATGTGGCACAAAACAGGAAAATTAGAAAACAGCAACACATGACGCCAAACATGTCTTGTGGCATCGATTGTGAATTGTCTGTATTGTCTGTCATTTCAGCTATTAAAACAATACATTTTGTTTCTGTCCCGATGTTCTGGTCATCTCTATTACATGCATAACAAAAGATTAATATTATTTCACATATTTAAATGTGATCTTTAACATTTTCATAAGTAACTGTTATTTATGTACACATTTTTTTCTCAGTCATATGAATTACTGTTACTTTTATTTTGCAGTTAAATTACGTAATGCCGTTACATGTAACTAGTTACTCCCCAACACAGGCCCTCAAACTGTCCCACCAAGAAAAAAAAAATGTTTGGATTGCATTTCCTAACTCTGGTAAAAGTACCAGAGTTAATACATATGCTATGAAAAAATAAATAAATAAAAATAAATAAATATATACCAGGGCAGAGCTGAGCGGCAGCAAGGGGAAGCTTGAGCCCCAGATCCTTCTTCCTTGCACTTCTTCTACAAGTGATGTCACGGGGGGTTTGGGTTAGGGGTGGGGTGGGTGTACGCATTAAAACAGCTTAAAGGGGGAGACAGCTCGAGCTCCAGTGAGGGGGAGTTAAGTGCTAAGTGGCTCTGCAGCAAGCAGTGTCTTGATAAATTTGAAAAATCCTTTAAGCTCTAAAAAGTCATGTGAAACAAAAACTAATTGTAATACAACACAATGAAACCATGACCCATGTGCTTATGCTCACTAAGCAAGCTTATACACAACACACACAAAAAATAAAATGAATTAGGAGCCATGTGGACATTCCAAAAAATCTAAATCAAGTAATTTTAGCACCTC